TATATATATATATATATACGCGCGTGATAATGAGACGAAACGAAATCGAGAGAGAGAGAGTAAAAGGTTTGTAAAGTAAGAAGCTTTAGCTGAATAAAAGAATATTGAACGAGGCGTGTTTCTATAAAATTTATTCTAAATATTATTGGATATAAATTTAAAGTTGGTTACTACTGTTAAGGCTATCAGCATCACTGTAATTGCGATGAGTTATTTTTACCTTGATTGATTCTTTTTCCCTTTGCGTAGTCCTCTCGCCTCTCTCTCGAATTAAAATATAACTTTTTTCGATTTACGACGAAACTCGTTATATCATTGCGACACACTCGGTTTAATTCTCCATTTAATTGCATAATCCCTTGCAACGTTATCTTCTCTTTCTCGAGTTTGTCTTTCCAACTTTGCGCTCCTCTTTAACGGTTTCACTTTATCTTGCAATTTATCGCGGGGGTGGTTGATCGCTCGGTGAACTTGTCAATTTTTTTCTTCCCCGCCCGCCACTTTTTCTCCTCCACGCCCTACTTTTTTCTCGCTTCTCGCCTCTCACTCATCCGCATAAACATTTATCTTCTTCTCGAGCATCCTCAGTTTGTCCTCGTTTGATAAATTGTCTCTCTCGTTTCGACTATTCGTCGTGTAATTTGTAGAGTTGTAATTTTCGTGTTGCCTCTTGAATGTATCGTACTTCTTCTTGTCGATTTCGGTCAATTTTTCGAATAACTCCTTGTCCTTCAACGATTTCCTCATATCCTCGCCGAAAGCAACCTCCTCCAATTGTTGCTCGTTCTCTTGCTTCCAAGCTAGTCGTTTATTGAGCAATAGTATTTCGTCTTCCACTTGATTTTTGCCCGTTATCGGTTCCTCCTCCTCCATCAGATCTGATTTGCCAAAAGGGGCAAAATTACGCGACAAATAGACAATTAGACAAGAAATATAATCACCTCTGTTCTCCATCTTAAACTTGTCTTGTTCTTGGGACTGGATTTTCGCGAGAGACACGTTTTCTTCGATATTTCCTTTCTGATTCGCGCTCCTGTCCCTTTTCAAATCGGTCGTCATCTCTTTTTCCCAAGACCCAGCGCTGTACTTGTATAAAAATACAATCACAATAATACACACTTCGACCCTATCGTCGATTCTCGACTCGAATCAAATGTTGCGTTATCGCATACTTTTTACCACCATTATCATCCCCCAAACTTTTCTTTTTCTTGGGCGTACCGCCACCCTTCCCACTCGATTCCACGTTCGCCGTGTCCATAGAATCGTAAATTAAAGGTTCCTCGTACTCTGAATCGAGAGGATCCCAAAAGGCATTGTCCGCATATTCACGTTTTTGACGCAGTGTCGCAGCATTATGCACACTGTCCTTATGCCGTGACTGATCAATACCACTTGCATCTTTGTGATGCTTACCATGCTTCCCTTTGCGCTTTCTACGATTTCTTTGCATCTTGTTATTATTATGCTTTTGTTGCTTGTTCGCGCTTCTGATTATCCTTTTCCCTTTATAAGAAACTCCAATGTCGTCTGAAACGTACGGGAAATCTATATAGATATATATATATATATATATCGCGATCGATCGTAACGCGTTTATCGAATCGCGTTATTTAAATAATTTTTTTTTCAAGTTTGTTGCGAGTGAGTTTGCGTTTACTGTCTCGAAGAAGATCCTGATTAGCGAAGAAGTCTGCGCTGTTCAGTTTCAAGATGTTGGGCAAATTTATGTGCAAAAGACCATCCGACATGGTGAAATTACTCTCGCTTATATTGGCCATTCCATTCTCTCCATTCGGTTTCTCCTTCTTCTCGGTCTCCTCCTTCAATTCGATGTACTCGAGCAACAAATCTAGCTGTTTCTCCTGGAAACAATGGAACGAGGGAAACGAATGAACGAAAATGGAGAAAATTTCGCGGGAATCGCGGAAACGGATAATTAGCTCGTCAGATCAAAATCAATGTTAACCAGATATTCGTGAATCGCCTCGACTTTCTCCTGCTCCTTTTCCGACAAAGAACCGTACTCCTTTATGAGATTACGTATCACCGTGATCTTTACGTATAATTCGGTGATCTCAGTCTCTATCCGTTGACTCGGAAAACTTTGGAAGAGGTATTTGTCCCGTGGAAAATGTTCCTGCGAATCTCCTTTTATAAACGGTAACGTCGGTGGTAGCTGGAACGAAAATTCCAACGTGTGCGTCCAATTTCCCCCTCGATTGCTCGATTATCAATAATAATATTACTTGTTGCAACGATGTCGTTTGCGAATTCAATTCTAACATCCAGTCCAAAAACTCCATCAAATCTGGCGGCAGGGAAATGCATGTCTTTTTCTGCACCTCCTCGAAAATGAGTTGATTCAGAAGCGATACGATCTTGTTCATTATCTCGTCCATCTCCTTGAATACGAAAACGAAACGTTCAAAGCATTTTTGCGTACTCAATCACGCTAAATGTTAGATTATTATATAAATTGAAAAAACGCACTTTATCGTTGCTAAAAGTTTGATGACATTTCTCAGCTGTCACGGTATCTCTAACCTTGTGCTTGTAGTAAAGACCTGGGCCCAACGATACCTTCAGATCTTTATTTTTCTGCACCTGATGATTTCGAAACGACAGAAATATAAGGAATTCACGGTGTTTCGCGTGAGATAGAATTATCCAAGAGAGGGAAAGAGAGAGAGAGAGAGGGAGAAATGAAAAGAAGAAAGAAATACTTGATCGAAAATTTGTTCCACGATCTTTCCTGCGAGTTCACCATGAACAGCCAAATCCATCTGCGATTCATCTTCCATATTATCGGCTACCAAAAACGTGTTGATCTTTCTTCTCTGGATATCGTTGATCGAGTTCATCGTCTGAAATATTATCGTCGAACCTTTCTTTTTAATTAAATTATAAATCATATTTTATCGGATTTCATATAGATTGAGAAAATGAGCGCTTAAATACGTACATTCTTCCTTCCTTTACCATGATGCCTTTTCCTCTGATCATGATATTTATCCTCCTCGCTCTGATCAATCTTTATTTTCTTAATGTTATGACGATTCTTCATGCTCTTTTTCCGCTTTTTCTCACGGTCTTTTATCTTGGGCTGCTTTTTGTGATGCCTCCGTTTCCTACGAGTTTTCTTGCTAGGCTTGGTCTTGCGAATTTTCTTTCTCTTCTTCTTCAATTTGTTGTTATTCTTGTTGTTGTTATTGTGCTTCTTCTTAGCGTGTTTCTTCTTCTTCGCGGGATCCTTGTTCCTAGATATTCTGTTATAATCGTCCGCTACATCCTTGCCCAACTCGAAATCCTTCATGTCCGACAGCTTGTTGCCGGGTATATTCTCGTACGGGTTCAACGGTTGGAAATGATCGTTTTCCTCGTTTTTCATATACCGATTGTAATACATCATCTCGGAATCGGGATTCACTCGTTGATTCACCTCGTCGTAATACGCGTCGTAAGGAAGGGAGACCTGCCTCTTTACCCTACCTTCGTCCTTGAACAATTTCTCCACGTCCAGGGGCGACGACGCGACGAGAGCGAATCCCCGATCCATTGATCTCGTGCTCTTATTCTCGATCGGGCCCGCGATCCTCGCGCTGGAACCATTGGCCGATCTCTCCGTGGAACTAGATCCAACGTAAGACGCGACTATCCCCGAATTTTCCACGCTTTTCAAACTTCTCCCGAGCCTCACCCTTATGTCCTTGTCGGAATCGTCGACCAGTTCAAGGGGCTCGACGAACGACTCGTGCAAATCTCTCGAGCTAATTATCATCTGTTTCTCGCGATCTATAATATTTTGTACACGTTTCTCCCTATCGTGATTACGAGGGGATCGTAATCTCGCATATTTCTCGTATTCGTAACGAGGGAATTGATCTGTATCTACGTATCGCCGCCTCTGATCCCTTGTTAACGATCGACTCGCGACATCTTTCTCCGCGTTGTCTCCGCTCACCTGTGCGCGATTCAAGAGGTTTATAGATTCGAAAGAAAAATAATAAAGTCGAGAGGATGGGAGGGTAGGGGGAGATAGGATATATTACGGAGTATGGATATATATATATATATGTATATATAAATATATGTACATGTATATATATACGTATGTATATGTATATGTATATGTATATATATACATATACAAATGCGATAATTTAATTTCGGAAATATATATT